TGGCAGTATTTCTCGCTAGGAGACTAAGAACAAAATGAATTTTCCCCAAAAGTAAATCTTGAGGTTTCCTTGTGCCTTCACGTTTAATTATTAAATTGAAAATGAAGGAAATGGGTGAATTGGTGTCGAATCTATTTTGTTTGGATAAAAAAAATTGACATTTCTGAAAGAGGATAAACATACCCAACTTTCTACGTTTGGAATGAATGTAAACGAATCACGGCTAAAATTAAAGTTTTAAATAATTCAAGATAAAATTTGGGCATTTGAAATGACGTTTTCCCTCACGATTTTTACATTGAACGGTCGTTCCAAGCGTGAATTGTTAGAAATATTTAATATGAATTAGAAAAATGCCATCGCTCGATTTCTTTTTTTTAAACCGCCCACCAAGTGCTCAATAATTTACGATTTTTAGCAAAATGGTCACGTGATATAACAGGCGACTTACAAACACAATATTTATACTTTAAAATGATAAAGACGATGAGTTCTTTATATGTGCCAAATTTTGATTCACTCCTATCATCTATGCCCACGTTATAGCCAACAATTCATTTCCCACAGGTAAACCCCTTAGTCCTAGGCCTTAACTACCTGAGAGGGGAAAAAGGGAACACTGAGGAACAGGGGCAGAGAGGGACAGTAGACAGGGGAACAGGAGGAACAAGAACAAGGGAATTGGGGGAACAGGTGGAATAGGAGAAAAAGTGGAACAAGGGGAACACAGGAACACGGGGAACAGGGAAAACAAGGGTAAAGGGCAATAGGGGCAACAGGGTAACAAAGGCAATAGGGCAACAAGGGGAACAGGGGAACAGAGGAAAAAGGGTAATAAGGGAACTCGGTTAAAAGGGGAATAGGAGGAACAGGAGAACAAGGGGAACAGAAGAACCAGGGGAACAAGGGGATCAAATGGAACAGAGGAACAGGAGGAACAGTGGAAGGAACAAGAAGAAGGTTTGAGGGTGCGTAAAGGTGTATAGGCAACAGGGTACTGTTCTACGGTCCCATTTGTTAAGTACATTAGAGGCCCTTAATTTGCTACCAGCCGTTCACGAAGTACCAAACCACCATGCTGGACTGGGACTGGGACAAGACAAACAAAGAGCAGTGCTTGACCGCTGCAATAATACGTTGCGGGCACAGCAGTTTGTGGTGACACTTTCATGAACGACAGTCTCGCTTTTCGCCAGGAAACATCGGCAGCCACAAAAGAGAGAAAGAGAGTGTCAACCACTGCAAAAACGTTTCCATCATTATATCATCATTACGTACTAGGTCACTATTATTGTTATTAGGTCATCATTATTATCAGTATCATGTTAAACGCACTTTTCGGAAATGTATTAAGAGTTAGTGACAAATAAGTTTCGATACCCGAGCATTTAAACGATCGAACTTATAGAAAAGTAAGGTTTCAATGTTGTGGCTTAGAGAAGTGAAGGGAAGTTCCTCTCCAGCGTAAAGGGTAGAGGTCTCATGGTGTCGAGATTTTGTTTTACGCTAAAAGGTTTGTTTTTCATTATTTTATAATCTTCTTAAACCCTGTTTACATGGAGTGGGGGACCCCGGTTTAGTGGAGTAGGTTTCTTTGTTTTGTGTCCCCGAGAGCGTGAAAACAAAAGAAACCAACCCCACTAGACCGGGGTCCCCCACTCCATGTAAACAGGGTCTTAGTTGATTTAAAGCATGTTCCAGATTGTTCTCAAGTTGGAATAATGATGAACTCTGAAAACGCGAACTCTATTTTCTGTGACGTTTACGCCGCTGTCGTTGTTACTCCCTTATATCCCCGAGAGACTTACCTTGCGAGTACTACTTGTGTTGTTGTAGTTTTTTTTTTGTCATCCCGTCTTTTGTTTATTATAAGTATCCCAATCAAGATTTCACTCGACAGAATCTATGTAATCGCAGCGCCACATTTCTTCGTGCCAAACAGCAGACCCGCAGAAAGAATAATCAACAGTCAACGGGCCACCAATGGGATTTTAGATTAGCTATCTCGCGCGACATTTAAAAACATGTGACCTTTCTCGCACTTCTCAGTTCCGAAGAGAGCAAAACAGTTTTCAGATTGTCTCTTATTCCAAAATCTTTCAAATTTGTTCCTTTTTACGTAAGAATATAATGTGGGAACCCTTCAAAGCACGGCGTACAAGACGGAAGAATGGAAGAATCGAGGACTGAAAAAGTCTAACTAAAGAAAAAGGTGAGAGAAACTTCCGACGTTATCGGAGTTTTAACACAACAGAAACCGCTCGTTTCAATACGAACTCAAGCAGTGAAACTGCACCGCAACAATATTTCGACATTTTCGATCAGTTCAAGCTAGATAGTTTACGGATGAACGAGAAAAACATTTGAGGGCGGAATATTCCTCGCCCTTTATAAAACCAAGTACGTGAAACTATTTACACCTCGACTGAATCAACTTATATCGAAAGAACTTGCATCGAAACGACTGGTAACCGTGACTACATTCCATTCACGAAAACAGTTTGCATGATTGTTTGTTTGGATAAACCAAGTAGAGACAGGGCTATCTATTACGAATGATTTGCAAGACGGTTGTTGTTATTATTCATTTTGGTGTTGTGTATACAAGTTGTTTTATTTTACATGAACAAAGCACGGCTGAAGATAAATGTGGAACTCTTGAACTGAGAAACTAATTGAAAGAACTGTGCACTCTTCAGTGAGTCACAGATATCGTAAGATTAATTCTTCTACTTGTGTTTCATCAGGGAATATATAATTTTCTTTATTTCCACCAGTTTCACGAAAGGGCTAGAATTTACAATTTTACAGTACCGTACTGTAAGAAAATCTTGTAATATTTTGTAACATATATAACTGCAGTGCCTAAATTTGTACTTGCAATTTGTTCCGGTGTCCAAGTGAAACACAGTCAGTTCACAAGCGTGTTAGTTATCAATCAGCCTTGCTGGGAAACCACTCTACCTGCAGATATAACGTAAAGCACAAAATGATGAAGGCCGGATTGAAGGGTCATGGTATTTTATCATTTTACCCTCTGTACACTTCCTTGATCTTCTTGCAACTACCCGGTGTGACTGTGAGGCAATAACTTTGCGGTCAAACAAAAATCTATCCTAAAGGTTATTTTTGAGAGATTTGTAGTGATGAAGTCGTTTGCACTTCATTGCGATAACTGTTTACGGCATTTATAAAATTAATTATGAATGCATAATTCTGTTCAGGAAACATGTTGAATCTGATAATGAATTACTTAATAAACATGACCTCCATGGGAGGTGCTCACAACGTGAACCGAGACATGCAAATAAGTGGCAGGGTATTCTGCAGTTAAGCCTGAACCGAAATTAAAATTGCTTCGTCTGATGCAGAGCAAACGCATCAACAAAATTGTCGCTTCCTTGCTTTTTGGTCAAGTTATGGCCAAAATGGCGATCGGCAAGATTTCCGCATAACTCCATACATTAATTATGAGTACATCTATTGTTTAAAGAAAACAAAAGACAGAACAAAACTGGGATTTCAGCTATTATTTTCAAATCTTTTGATTTATTTCTAAGTGTTTTTTAAAACCCCCTAAATTTGGCGCTTTCTGTACTAAAATAGGAACTTTTTGGAACAAATTTTGCTCTATTTTCGCTTTCCTAAACCTAACTTTAAAAATGACCTGGAGAATATATAGTGATAAAAGATGTAAAATATAATTAGTAGCGTTGAGCATAAAATCCGCTAAACTATCCATCCATCGTAACACGAGGTCTGAACAACTTGAAATAAAAGTCTACCTTGTTTGCTGTGTTCGTCAGAGTTGTCTTTTTTCCTGAACAATTTTTTCGAGTTTCCGCCGCCTCCTTCTACGTCTGATTTGTCTGTTTTAATTAGCCTTTATGCCTCGTTCCCGACGTAATAAAGTTCGGCGATATGAGTTACTATGTTTCCAAAGAGAACTTCTCCGTAATGCCTACGCCACATATTTAAAACTCCTGCCAGTAGGTTGTTTTCGAATAGTTCTTTGGATGTCCCTGCACGGGACCCGAAAGCAAGAAAAGTTTGTGAAAGTGTATGCAAGCTAAGCACAGTTTTAAGATCTGCCAACACTACGTTGTAGAACAGGGAGTAATACTGGAAGGCAATGGGTCGCCAGACATCTGCCTCTCGAGAAAATGAGATCAGAAGTAATTACAGTGTGATAAATTGGTACACATAGAGATGGACACCAGTAAAATATGTTATATTTCCATTTCTCTTTTCATTGATCAAATGTCTCGTTCAGTTTAACAATGGCATTGTTATTGCAATAGCTACATTTATCACGAACTTACTATCTCGACAAATAATAATTATGATCTAAGCAATAATTATTCAATGTCGCTATACAATCACAGTTTGGTGCCTAGTAGTTTTGACTACTGCACACATGTAGACATCTTTAAATTAAATCATAACTCTCTTAAGGAAAAATTATATTTCGCAAGGGTAATCTCAGTTTTCTTTTCATCAAATCTGGATAACTTATGACTACACTTTCTTGGCGCCACACTACAGTAGATTTTGCTGTTGTGAAAAAAAATTTTCTATTCAAATATTACTACGTTAGCTTTGCTATTATAGTTGGGGAGAAACAAAATAGAGTACGAGCATAAGCTGGATATATTAACCAACTACCTTGCAAGTCCATTATCAAAGGAATGAAAGAGAGAGGGTGGGGAGGGCAAAGGGGTTCTTCTAAGTTTAAGTGTTTCTAAAAACCAATGCTAAGTGTTTTCCACCATGACCAACTAACATATTCAGTCAAAAATCTAGTACCATTTCTCAAAGGTTCGGTGTTCACAACGGTCTTTGTTTAAAGAGTGCAAACATCACCAGTTTGTTCCAGGTGTTAGATAGTCGGTAAAAGCACAAAATGAAAAGCAAAGTGTTTTCTTCTTTTCCCTCTTTCTTCTACATGTATGCTCTCTTTTTCGTGACATCCATAATATTTGAACACTTGGAACAAGCTTAGCCACCACTCATTACCTAATAAGGGATTCAATTGTTAAAGTCCTTTTTCACTTTGTTAATCAAATCAGAGTTGCACAACACGTCAATAGCTGTCATAGCCATCGCTTTGCTTGCAATCAAGGTCCTCTCGTTAGCTTTCTCTGTGATTGCTGCCGTGGTAAATGCATGGGAATGATTAGGGGCTGTAGTGTCGATAGCATACACTGGATGAATCGAGGGAACTTCATGAGAAACATTGCCCATGTCAGTTGACGCTAAAAAATCTGCACAGATAAAGGTTACTCCTAAACTCTCTGCATTTGCCTTGTAGAGTTCAGCAAGGGTGTCATTGCTGACCAAGTCTTCATAACGCATTGCTCCCCATTCTGCAAAAACCTTGCAGCCTAAAAGACAAGGGAAAATGGCAACATCTTCATTGTTTGAGTGCATTGTAGCTTTCATTATTTTTTTATGTACTGACAGTGTAGCTTTAAAAAAGCAACTTTTCAAAAAAAAAACTTTAAAGAAGTTTTGTGTTTTCAAATTACTGTGCCACTTTCAATTTCAAAATTTTATTAATCCATATTAATCCACCCTCTATGTGTTTTCCATTTAAAGTAAGATTAAGACAGAATCTATCAGGAAATTGAATAATATTAATTTAAACAATATTGCTTTTTTTACATTTTTCAAGGGCTATAGACGTAATTAGTTATCTGTAATAACACCAAAGAAAATTTCTCACAAGAGCCTGAGAAAATAAAATGTCAAATTTCACCAAAATGACATCTTTCACATGAAATTTCCAGAATTTTACCTGTGCTTTCACAATTCATGTGAAATTTGACATTTATTTTCTCACACTCCTATGAGTGATAGTCTTTGGTGTTTTTACAGATAACCGATATTATTGAAGGGCACATTTGGAAAATATGCCCAAAGTTGAAATTGCTGAAAAATTGTTGATGCGTTATTGTTGAAATTATTCTGGTACAAGGTTTCTGTCCACTGAAAATTGAAATTACTCAATTTCCTGATAGATTCCATCTTAATGACAGCACGTTGCCAATTTATTGTTTATGCATTGTACCATTGAGATAAAAAAAAACAAACAAACAAATACAGATTTAGCAAATGCAAGGCAACTCCCTCAGAACATTGGTTACTGTGAGGTGACATATACAATGTACTGGTAAGTAAGGTCCATTTCAAACAATGAACTTCAAATGTATTGTAATTATTGTAATTTATTTACCCACAGAGCACTTAGGAATTCTTAAGAACTTGTTGAAACATGTCCGTGCATTCCATATTGAATATTGGAATTTGGAGGTGTTGGGATGGGAAAACTGGAGTACCAGGAGAAAATAATCTCTCACAGCAAGGCAGACAACCAACAACAAATTCAACCCATATGGCGCTGATGCCAGGATTTGAAACCAGGCCAGATTGGTGGGAGGCGAGTGCTCTCACCACTGCGCCACCCTTGCTCCCAAAAATGTGCCAAATCTATTTGCAAATGAGTGAGAACAATACATTTTGTTCATAGACATGTTTGTCAAGTACAAAGTTTGAATTGGCCCTACAGCTCTTTATTAGTTTTGTTTAAAAAATATAATTACTTTGTGTTCAACAAGAGCAGAACAGTGCACAATGCTTACCAGTAGCTGTTGCTGTAGCTTCAAAACAACTTGTCACCTTTTGCCGTAACAATTCAAGCTCCTCGACAGTTGGAGCTCTAAGGTAATACTTTAGCTGGGTGCGGTCAGGAATGATGTTAGGCTTCACACCTCCCTCAGTGATGATACCATGAACTCGCCATGTGGGCTTCATCTGTTGTCGTAACACGCTTATACTGTTATAAGCCATAACTGCTGCATCCAGTGCATTGACTCCTTCCCACGGGAATGCTGCAGCATGAGAGGCATGACCTTTGTAGGTGACTGTGACTTTATCTCGAGCTAAGATGGTTGGTTTCAGCATATCCACTGGGCTAGGATGGACCATCATACAAAAGTCAACACCTTTAAAGCAGCCATTATTAATCATCAAAATCTTGCCTCCTCCACCTTCTTCAGCTGGAGTTCCAAAAACTACTATTTTCAACTTACGCTTCTGGTTGACGGCCTCCAAAGCAATCTTGAGACCTTCACAGAAAAACACAGACAACATACACATGTACATGTACTGCCTTTCAAAGCAATTTGCAGTTAAATTTTGTTAAATTTTCTAAAGTACTGTCATCTTTTTTGTAACATACAAGTTTTCCATGTTGTTTTTGTTCCTTAGTTGTTTTATCCAAATTATCCCTAATCATTTTTCTTTCTCTTGCAAAGTGCAATGTACATGTTGCCCCATCATTGGCTATTTCTCTGATTTAGAAAGGACTACAGTTTCAAGGCCTTCCCTTTTAAAGTTGAATGGACCCAATATGCAAAAATGGCTGCTGAATTAATATTCTTTTGTTTAAATCAAAATAAGCCTGACTAGCTTTGCTTGAGATAAGGTATTATTATATAAACACCAATGAAATACCAGGTGAGCTTTCGCATGAAAACTTGATATCTTCACATGTGAAAATAACATGTTATCTTCACATGTGAAAATATCACCGTTGCTATGGCTTCATAATAAATCGCGCCTTTCACACCAAAAACTATTAAAGTGAAATGGTTTGGTAGTTCATTGGTGTTTATGTAATAAATAGAACATTACGTGGCCGCTTGGAGATACGAAATTTCTCTTCTCGTGTTGAAAAAATATTTCACTCGTTCACTGCGCTCACTCGTGAAATATTTTTCAACACTCGAAGAGAAATTTCGTATCTCCACGCGGCCATGTAATATCCTCTATTTCTTTTGAATTTTGTACCTAAGAACCAGGCTAGTAGGGCTGATTTGAATATGAACAAAATAATATGAAACTGCTGTGACCATTTCTGCATTAATTGGGTCTTAAGCTTGAAATTAATTTTGCTACTTATCAAATATGCCAAACGACCAAACCACATATTTGCCACATATGACTTTATGAATCTGGAAAACATTGAATTTTAATGTTGTATATTTTCTCATCCTTTAAGCTTTCTTGGGTGAAAGTTTTTGACTTTGTCATTAGGTAGCAAACTTACACCATAGAATGGGGGTAGCAAAAACCAGACGTAACTAATCAATGATGAATGACATCAATGAGTAATCGATAACAATCATTGGGTAATCAACTGATTATTCAATGATTATTCGCTACAATCAATGGGTAATCAATGACTGATCAATGGCCAAAAATTTTGTGGCCCATTGATTACTCATCGATTAGTCATTGATTTACTCACCTCATACAATTTGTAGCAATTTTTTTTCCTAACTTATAGCCAAATAGGAATTGAACATGCATGTAGAAAACCAATGTATATAGGCCATGACAAAAAGAGAAAGAGAATGGCAAACGAAATTTATTTATTGGACAGTAACTGATATATCAAAAACGAAAGGTTCAGAAGGTCGAGTTATGTCTTACTCTCTTGGCTATTACAGTCTGTGTCTTTGGTGAGAAAGGCAGCCACCACAGAATGCTTACCGGGTAAAAGATCATGAACAAAAAAAGCTTGTACAGTGGCATTTATGTCAAAGAAGTCTTCATTTCTTTATTTTCGATTTGGTTTGGTTTGTGTACCCTGAGATTATATCAATAATTAATCAATGACTAATCAATGACTGAAAATTTTGTGGCCTATCAATTATTCATTGATTACTCATTGAATATCGGATATAATCAATGACTAACGAGTAATCAACTGATTACTGATTGATTACTTATTGATTTCATTGATGTCATTAATGTCATTAGTTACGTCTGGCAAACATAAACTTGTGCTGCGCCTTTCGTATGTTTGTGATCCGCTGTAAGACCTTTTGAGTTGTTATGTTAACCGAGTACATGAAGTCGCCCATTGTATGCTTAATATGGGCTTGGGCTACCTGTGGTGTAAACTGACAGTACAGAGTACCACATATTCGCGTGTTGGTGTCAACTAAACTCTATAATATCTACCTAAAGCAGCAGCTACACCAGATTCAGCAATCAGATTGTGTCCACACGCGTGACCCACTTCTGGTAAAGCGTCATATTCACAAATCAAACCAACTGTAAGGCCTCCATCTTCACCGGTTTCAGCTCGAAAAGCGGTATCCAAAGTGTAATGAGGTGTCACATCAAAACCAACTGCTGCATCCAGTGCATTGACTCCTTCCCACGGGAATGCTGCAGCATGAGAGGCATGACCTTTGTAGGTGACTGTGACTTTATCTCGAGCTAAGATGGTTGGTTTCAGCATATCCACTGGGCTAGGATGGACCATCATACAAAAGTCAACACCTTTAAAGCAGCCATTATTAATCATCAAAATCTTGCCTCCTCCACCTTCTTCAGCTGGAGTTCCAAAAACTACTATTTTCAACTTACGCTTCTGGTTGACGGCCTCCAAAGCAATCTTGAGACCTTCACAGAAAAACACAGACAACATACACATGTACATGTACTGCCTTTCAAAGCAATTTGCAGTTAAATTTTGTTAAATTTTCTAAAGTACTGTCATCTTTTTTGTAACATACAAGTTTTCCATGTTGTTTTTGTTCCTTAGTTGTTTTATCCAAATTATCCCTAATCATTTTTCTTTCTCTTGCAAAGTGCAATGTACATGTTGCCCCATCATTGGCTATTTCTCTGATTTAGAAAGGACTACAGTTTCAAGGCCTTCCCTTTTAAAGTTGAATGGACCCAATATGCAAAAATGGCTGCTGAATTAATATTCTTTTGTTTAAATCAAAATAAGCCTGACTAGCTTTGCTTGAGATAAGGTATTATTATATAAACACCAATGAAATACCAGGTGAGCTTTCGCATGAAAACTTGATATCTTCACATGTGAAAATAACATGTTATCTTCACATGTGAAAATATCACCGTTGCTATGGCTTCATAATAAATCGCGCCTTTCACACCAAAAACTATTAAAGTGAAATGGTTTGGTAGTTCATTGGTGTTTATGTAATAAATAGAACATTACGTGGCCGCTTGGAGATACGAAATTTCTCTTCTCGTGTTGAAAAAATATTTCACTCGTTCACTGCGCTCACTCGTGAAATATTTTTCAACACTCGAAGAGAAATTTCGTATCTCCACGCGGCCATGTAATATCCTCTATTTCTTTTGAATTTTGTACCTAAGAACCAGGCTAGTAGGGCTGATTTGAATATGAACAAAATAATATGAAACTGCTGTGACCATTTCTGCATTAATTGGGTCTTAAGCTTGAAATTAATTTTGCTACTTATCAAATATGCCAAACGACCAAACCACATATTTGCCACATATGACTTTATGAATCTGGAAAACATTGAATTTTAATGTTGTATATTTTCTCATCCTTTAAGCTTTCTTGGGTGAAAGTTTTTGACTTTGTCATTAGGTAGCAAACTTACACCATAGAATGGGGGTAGCAAAAACCAGACGTAACTAATCAATGATGAATGACATCAATGAGTAATCGATAACAATCATTGGGTAATCAACTGATTATTCAATGATTATTCGCTACAATCAATGGGTAATCAATGACTGATCAATGGCCAAAAATTTTGTGGCCCATTGATTACTCATCGATTAGTCATTGATTTACTCACCTCATACAATTTGTAGCAATTTTTTTTCCTAACTTATAGCCAAATAGGAATTGAACATGCATGTAGAAAACCAATGTATATAGGCCATGACAAAAAGAGAAAGAGAATGGCAAACGAAATTTATTTATTGGACAGTAACTGATATATCAAAAACGAAAGGTTCAGAAGGTCGAGTTATGTCTTACTCTCTTGGCTATTACAGTCTGTGTCTTTGGTGAGAAAGGCAGCCACCACAGAATGCTTACCGGGTAAAAGATCATGAACAAAAAAAGCTTGTACAGTGGCATTTATGTCAAAGAAGTCTTCATTTCTTTATTTTCGATTTGGTTTGGTTTGTGTACCCTGAGATTATATCAATAATTAATCAATGACTAATCAATGACTGAAAATTTTGTGGCCTATCAATTATTCATTGATTACTCATTGAATATCGGATATAATCAATGACTAACGAGTAATCAACTGATTACTGATTGATTACTTATTGATTTCATTGATGTCATTAATGTCATTAGTTACGTCTGGCAAACATAAACTTGTGCTGCGCCTTTCGTATGTTTGTGATCCGCTGTAAGACCTTTTGAGTTGTTATGTTAACCGAGTACATGAAGTCGCCCATTGTATGCTTAATATGGGCTTGGGCTACCTGTGGTGTAAACTGACAGTACAGAGTACCACATATTCGCGTGTTGGTGTCAACTAAACTCTATAATATCTACCTAAAGCAGCAGCTACACCAGATTCAGCAATCAGATTGTGTCCACACGCGTGACCCACTTCTGGTAAAGCGTCATATTCACAAATCAAACCAACTGTAAGGCCTCCATCTTCACCGGTTTCAGCTCGAAAAGCGGTATCCAAAGTGTAATGAGGTGTCACATCAAAACCTCGTGCTGCTAAATACTCTGTTAACTGATCGTGAGCGTATATCTCATTAAAGCCAAGCTCTGGATTTTGCCATATACATCGGTTAAGATCAAACAACTCTGAAGAATACGTGTCTATCGCCTCTTTTGCTTTCTCCTTCAATACTTCCGCGTCACTCGCCGCCATTTTTAGTCGGAAGCAAAGATAATTAACGTTACATGAAGTATTCTTTGTTGGTTCGGATTCGAACTGTACGACCGCGGGCGCAGCATTCCACCATGTGGCGGTTTCTTCAAATAAAACGACTGCAGAAACCGAAACGACAGGGATGAGATGAAATATGATCGAAATGTAGGTATGTTGATTAGTTGTCCAAACTTAAAAGGGATGTTCATGTAAGGGAATCGGCACAACTGATATTTTTAAGTATTCTGTCCAGAAGATGCCAAATCCGACTAACTCCCGCATGCATGCATGTGCAGACTCTCGACGATGACACTTGTTTACAACTTTAATATTGTTTATATTCAAAGCGGCTTTTACCTGAAAATGTTCGTTACGTTAACTGAAATCAGATTAACACAAGAACACTTGTTTCAGTAGTTGTGTTGAAATTGCCTCAAGAAAAACGGTCAGTATAAGACACGGACTGCGGACTGCGGACCACGGACTGCGGACTGGGTATAAAATACGGACTAGGTATAAGATGCGGACTCCGGACTGAGTATAAAACACGGACTAGGAATAAAACGCGGACTACGGACTATGTATATAAAAACAGCTTTAGAAGGTAAGACTGAGAGAAAGAGAAAGCGGACTAGCGAAAACCGTAGTCCCAGCTTTAACGCTGTTCACGTAGTCTATTCTTCCCACGGAGAAGGAAGGTTATGCCGGTACTCAAGGCAACTGAAATTAAACTCTGAATTTTATAGAAAGAAGGAGTTTGAAGAGATTTCAATTTGCAGTTTTGCACCAATAAGAAGCACCGAATTAAAAAAAATAGTATTGGTGTTTGTCAGATCAGTAAAATTCTTATCGGATGCCACAATTCCGTTTCAAATAAAGCCTTGGGAATATGAGGACTAAATGAAGAACTGAGACGAGAAAGTCAATGCGATGCACAAAAGCAGTATTTAGGTGCGAGGGATTACTCACATACGTGAATAATAACCGAAATGAGTCATCCAGGTCATCCAACGTTATATTCTAAGCGATGATTATGATATATGACATGATTTACACCCTGCTCCTGATCCCCGGAAGCGGGTACTAATGGGAATTCTTGGTGGGGGTGTAGTGCCCGGTTCTCCGAATCCTGACCTTATTGGAGACCAAAAAATTGTCATTTTCCAATCCATACCCATTTTCGGACCTGGCCTAATTTAGCCTGTTCCAGGTTCTCAGATAGTTGGGGAGACTCCCCAGTTTTCTCCCGTTTTATTTTCTTGTTTTCGCTTTCTCAATTCAGCGGACCCAACTATCTCAGAGCCTTGAACAGGTTAGGTCTAATTAGGCAGAAATTTTGTCATCATTACCAAGTAAGAGTGGAAACAAAAAAATTCTCCAAATGCATTTCGAATTCGCACATTTCTATTTCGTTCTTATTCATTTGGAATTGAAACGATAAATACGTCCATTCATGTATGCTCCCGTTGTTCCCTCGAAAACCATACCCGATTCCACAACAAAATGGGCAAAGTGTTTTCAGACCAAAAAGGCCCAAACCCCCTACCCTTCCATTATAGAAGGGAGTACCACCCCTGATCCTGACCCCTTTCATGATTGTTAGAGGCCAAGACAAGGTCTAAAAATGGGTGAAGAAAATAGCATTTTGATCCGGCTCATGATTCAGAGAACCGGGCGGGACACCTCCACCAAGAATTTATAAACTCACGGGTCTTGCTATTTAGCGATCTTTTGATCTTATTTTTCCTTACCTAGAACCAATTTGCACGGTTTTTACCAAAGTTGTCTGTAGTCCGTATTTTATACCCAGTCCGCAGTCCGCAGTCCGCAGTCCACGTTTTATACCTTGTCCGTGTTTTATACCCAGTCCGTATTTTCTAGTCCGCGTTTTATACCTAGTCCCTATTTTATACCCAGTTCGCAGTCCGTAGTCCGCAGTCCGCAGTCCGTGTTTTATACTGACCGTCAAGAAAAATGCCAAAATGGCAGCAAATTTGAATGTTTCAAAAATCATTCTAAAAACACCATATGTTCAAATTGCATTTCTTTTCGTAGAGGTTCTTGAGTAATGAACATGTGATGTGTAGTGTCTTCTATAGCCTCCTCATCCCCAGTCAAGGTGGACCCTCATCAAGTTCACTTTCTTCATTGCCACTTCCCAAATTAGGATGTGCCAGTCAGTGGCAGATCCAGGGGAGGCCCCCCCCTCCTCCCTCTTATTTTTAGACCAAACTGAGGCCCAAAGGGCCAAAAAAATGTTTTTTGAGACCCGCCCCCGCCCCTCCCCCCCCCCCATTATCTCAGGGTCTGGACGACTGCCCCCTGCTTATCTGCAGGTGTGGATCCACCACTGCCAGTAGACTGTACTCAACAGACTTGGATAGTATAGTGGCAAGCATGCTTTTGATATCTGTTTAAAAAGCTAAAACAGCCTGGCCAGTGCATGTTTTTTCCCAGTCTAGTAAATGTTAAACTACATATACCATACATACAACCAATGAGAATTATTAAGAATCTTATTTCAAATTCTCTGGTGTGATGGTTGCCTCACCATAACCTGATATGAACTATAAACCACCGTATAAATTATTGCCAACGAGCCATCCGAGCGAAGGAAGACGCTCGGATTGGCGAGGCGGCAGCAGAATAGAGCCGCGCAAGACTCGGCAGTAGACAGAAAAATTCTCAATCGAGCTTCAAACTGAGTGTAACCTCATATAATGTAGATTCCCCTGAGACCAAGTGGTGTGACAGTTTCAGCAAATCAAAAGGCGGTAAACACGGGAAGACTGAACTTGAATGTGGTACGCTTTTATTGTTTATTCACCTAAATCTGGCCCCGGCAGTCAAGGAAAATGAAAACTTGATGCATTGTTTTAATTTGGGGGCCATTAATGTAAGGTTTTAAGTTTTCCATGTGAAACAAGCAATTCTCGCCACTAAAAAGGATCAGATTACACGAGGAGATAAGGAAACCTTGATACGAAGAATAAAGTCGCTTCTGTTGGAAAATCTGATGTTGGGGAAAAAATCTAACCAGCAAATGGAAAAATAAGAATAAAAAAGAATTACAAGCCTAAAGCGAACGACAAAGGATAAGAAAACAACGCTATTTCTTTCGCAACCTGGCCGAGTTTAAAGTGAAACCAAAATACCGACGTGCCGTACATCGCATGTCCTTGAAAACATTTCAAGCAGCGCAGCGAATCATTCTAAAATTCAATCGGGAACTCGACAAAAAGCCTCGGGAAATTTTAGAGGAGGTTTAAATGATTAAAGTGCACAAAGATTTTTCTACAAAGTGAAACCGAACTGACACTAATTTTTTAGTGGTAAGAGAAACGATCATTTTTTATATTTCCCCCTAAATATTACCTATCGCTTCCTCTGCAATCTGTTTTATTCTTTCAAAAAAGTATGCCTCATGACACTTCAAACTTTTATATAGCAGGTTCGTAAAGCCACAGGAGTCTGAGGACTGACTCTTCTCCGCACCTTTATACTTGCATAGCACCTTAGTTTCAAGAAAATAATCTTTTCAGCAGGAAGGGACCAAGAAACTGTCAAATGTTGGAAAAAGGAATCCATTCCTATGCAAAATACGCATGATTTGCTCGTTGGCACTCTATCGATAGGTATACCTAGTATAGTGTATAAACCATAAAGTGTTTAGATACTACCATAATCTATTTTCTCCTTGTCAACCCATTTGCAGTAGACTGTAATGCTGTTTTGCTTGAAATTGGCAAGTTCAGGGCGATTTAATATGCTCTCACAAAGTTTCTAGCGCATACTCAAATTAATTACATTGTACTACTGTATTATTTGCAAATTAAAAAATGGGATTTTGAAACTCAGATTTCCCTCCTATTATTTTAAGCCCCAAATTTTCATTATTTTACTATAAACTAACTCATGGTGCTTGAAAAAAATCTTGATTATCAAGTACCTAAGTATATAATGGTGTCTGGATTTTCTAACTTGAAAGCAAAAAAAAAGTGCGCATTGCTGAGGAATGGTTTAAGCCATCTCGCCTAGTAAAGGTATTATTAAGTCATTAATTTCTAGAAGCATACTGCCCAGAATTTTATTTTTTGACACCATTGCTCTTTTTATTTCTTCCAAAATCTCCCCTGTGAATGTGCTCTGTTCTCTGTTAGCCTTTTAGAACGGTTTTTTCTTCAATGGATGGAATCTCAATCTCAATTCTTCACGGCTAAACAATTGATCATGATCTTGAGTCTTATACTCACTATGAAGTTTAAAGATGCCACACAAGATATTCTTTTTCAGGCAATTTCAAACCAAAAAAAGAGAAACTGAATTTGCGACTAGGTTCCTTTGCTGCTTTCGATCTATTGCTTTGTTGTCAGTGGAACTGTTTGCTTCCAAATTTGGGAGTGATGGTAGTTCTTAATCAACAATTTCAAGATTACTTTCGTCTCTACTTTTCAGTCTCTTCAATGCTTTTCCTGAAGAATGGCGCAAAATATTAAAAACAAATAAAAACTCTATCTCTTCAAAAACTCATGATCTAATCCAAACTGATTTCAAGTTACGTATTGAAGGGAAAAAAGTCAATTTCCAAAATCTTAAATCAAAGTCATTATATGACAGTTTTGTTTCTAAGATATCCAGTATACCAACAGCGCAAAAGAAATATAACGAAGCTTTCAGCACACACACATTTCAGTTGGACTGGGAAAAGATATATCTACTGCCCTTCAAAACAACATTGGATACTAAATTAAGAGAATTCCAATATAAGATATTAAACAGGATCTTATACACGAACAAGATGCTGTTTAAGTTCAAAAAAGTAGATTCTCCCTTGTGCGATTTTTGTGAAAAGGAGTTGGAGACCATAGAACATCTCTTTTTCCATTGTACAAAAGTAAGCAT